TTTGATGATTCTGCTAATTTTCTTGTGCATTTTGGTTGTCGTTCCCTGCCTGATTAAGTGTCTGAGACAGACAGTGGACAAGGCGATCAAAGACATATTTTGGGTGAACCATCAAGAATCCTGGCTCGCTCAAAAACAAGAAGGGGGAATTGTGGGATTCCTGAAGGCCAGTGGTCATGCTGTGAGCAAGCCAGACAGGCGCGAGACCTAGATAAAAGGGCAGATAGGCGCCAGACCTAGCTGAAAGGGCAGATGGGCGCCAGACGGGCGCCAGGGCGCCAGACCTAGCTGAAAAGGATGAAAAGACTGTTGACTAAATGATAAGGAATTTGGCGGAGAATCAGATAAGGAGTCAAAGAATTGAGACAAACAGGAAGAGGGGGACGAGTCGTTAAATGTAAGGACACGTGGACACTGCTAGTGTCACAGGTATAGTTAGATTCGTATCACACTGTATAGTTAGATGCGTAGACACGGGGTCTTAACCAATCATTGTAAAGAAGTGCTCGCGTGATGGGGGAAGCCTTGCAAATAAGCGCGCTTGGAACCCTGAATAAACTGGCACTGCTTGATCACATTGATCGTGTCCGTGGTGTTCGAGACCCCTGCGTCGACATTAGCACCATGTTTCAAAGAGAAGTCTAAGGCTAGAAGATGCTACCTTAAAGCAAGAACACTGAGAGCATGAGACCTTGTAAGGTAAAATGAAGGAAAAGCACTTTAAGGGTTAAATTCTTAAAGGAAAATTTTGCAAACATAGATATCTTAAATGATAGGAAATATGACTAGAATGAGGACCATAAATTTCGACTGTGATAATCTAGCAAGAGAGGACAACATAAGCTATCACTGTTGCATCCTACCTCCTAGATTCCACACATTACAGGCTCTCTGCTGCACTTATACTCCAGATTCAGGTCATTCATTTCTGGCCCTAAAAATATGAGAATAACCCTTTATTTGCTGCCTTCTTTATGTTTCTATTGTCAGTGTAAAGGTTCCTATTGGTCTGAATTCCAGACAGTAAAAATCTTAAAGACTAAATGCTTCCTCCAACCAAATATTGAGCAAAAGGCTTAAAGAGACAAATAACAATCCATTCATTCCTTAATGTCCCTTGAACATCATGTCTTTTTGCCAGAGGATGTATGCCTAACATGCTGAAATGAAACCTCATGCAGAAGTCTTCAAGAAGCACTTGTGCTCAGCAAAGCTCAAACAGCTTGACACACCTGTGCAGTTTTGGTGCTTGGAATAAGGAACCGTAGAGATGCCAGAACTTTGTCAGGCTGTGATATCACACTTATAGATAAAGCTACCACCAAGTAATTTTTGCCAATGTGAGATGCATGGAAGTAGCATTCCTTTCTGAGTGGAACACACAAGTTTGTGTTTTTACAAATAAAGGAGTTACCCCACATTCATATTCTTTGGCTGATGAGCAGGACAAAGGAATATATGCAGGGGGGAAGACTGCAGAGCTATGAGTGAGTGGGACAAAAGACTATATGCCAAGAGTTTGGTGCCTTTACAAAGGAGGGAATTACTCCCCATTCTTTGGCAAGGGGGACAAAGGAGTCAGTTGACCTAAGATGAGAACAGGTGGAAGGAGGCAAGGAGTTTGGTATAGCTGGGCTGGAAGTCTATAACTTCTGAGTACCCTGGCCAATGGGGAAAGAAGAGGGCATACCTGCTTCGGGAAAATTAGGGTAGAAGGGGGCTGCGTCCTCCAGCAAATTGAGAGACTCCACAGTGTTATGCCCGGTGGACTTGCCCTAAAGTTTAGGAATCCTCTGTCTCCTTTTTGGACATTTGGTTCTTGACAGTGAGATTTTCCATACATTTCTTAGTTGCAGAAAAGCTGACTTCCAGCCATTATTTACTGTGACTGAATTTAAGCCAACTTATGGATCCCTTTAAGCCAACATACTGGAGGTATTCAATACAGATATTGCTGGTTATATTTTTAGAAGATCTCACTGCCAGGAGTGTGAAATATTTGGCCTAATGACTTTTATCTACAAAATAAATGAAGCCTTTTTTAGGGAAAAAAAAAAAAAAAAGAGTTCAGTACCAGACTTCGTACGTCTTTTCTAACTCGTGGAAACAAAAGACTTGAGAAGTTTTTGGCCTTAAATTATACAAACCTGCAGAAGAACTCTTAGGAGACCACTGAGGAAGGGAAAACATTAAGGATCTAGCATTTCATACCTTGAAGCCTGCACTGCTCATAAACCTTAGCTTCATTTGCTTACAAGATGAAGACTACATGACCTTTTTTTTTTCTTTTTCCTTTTTTCCTTCAAACTAGAGAATGTGAACAAGAGAGATTCTAGCTTTTCTAGAAAATAAAGCCAATTCTTGAAGTCTGTTGATACATCATACATGCTTTCTTAGCCCTGGAGACATGAGGCCACTTTCATACACTGCCAGAGCAAAAATCAGAACAAAGTACTGAAGATGGGAAAAAAGAAATGATTGGATGCATGTATTGAGAGTTAAGGCTAAAAGAAATGCAACTCAGTTTTTGAATATATACTCTAATTACTCCTCTCCCTTACTTTAACCTTCTAAAAGAAAGTTCATTTTTAAATGGTATACTTAAATGTTTCCATACCAATATTTTTTTTAAATACCAAAAGTCCTTGTAAAATAACCCTGTCTCTATGAAAGAAAAGAAACCAAATATGAATATTGTGCAAAATAAATTTTCAACAGTTAACTTGTTCCGAGCTTGATAGAGTGCAGAACTGTCCACAGAATTCTGGATGGCACTTTACCTATATGCTGCTGATTAAATTAAAGTGTATTTCAAAGGAAACAAATATTGCTTTTGGAGCATTAAGGTATACGGAAAAAAATCAATTCATGTCAAAAACAGAGCTAATTCAATAACAATTAGCCCGTACATACCACTTTCAGCATATAAATTGTGTGTATCAGCTTAGTTGCAGATGGACACAC